TCAGAGATGCTGCTGAGAAACCACTCAAGGGAGCAGATGGATGAATCTATTATCTGTGGGAAAGGATACAGGGATCCCACAGCCCATCACATAACCCCTAAGGAAGACAAACGCTATGAATGCCTCGGTTATGGAAAGGGATTCATTCTGAGACCACAGTTTGTTTCACCTCAGACAATTCATACTGGAGAGAAATTACTTCAACGCTCGGACCGTGGGGAAAGCTTCAATAACCGCTCAGATCTTAATAACCATGGGAGAAGCCACACAGGAGAGAAACCCACTCAGTGCCTTGACGGCAGGAATTGTTTGAATTGGAAGTCAACATTGATTACACATCAGGCAATCCACACTGGAGAGAGACCCCATAAATGCTTAATCTGTGGGAAAAGTTTCGTATGGAGGTCAGCCCTTGTCCAACATCAGGCAATCCACACTGGAGTGAGACCCCACAAATGCTTAGACTGTGGGAAATGTTTCCTACAGAGGTCAACCCTACTTCGTCATCAGAGAAAACATACAGGAGAGAGACCGCATAAGTGCTTAGAGTGTGGGAAACATTTCGTAGAGAGGTCAGGCCTTGCTAAACATCAGATAATTCATACAGGAGAGAAATCCCATAAGTGTTTGGACTGTGGGAAAAGTTTCACACAAAAATCAAATCTTATGGAACATCAGAGAATACACACCGGAGACAGACCCCATAAGTGCTTAGACTGTGGGAAAAGTTTCATACAGAGGTCCGCCCTTGTCAAACATCAGGCAATCCACACTGGAGAGAGACCGCATAAGTGCTTAATCTGTGAAAAAAGTTTTATACAGAAATCAACCCTTCTTATTCATCAGGCAATCCACACTGGAGAGAGACCCCACAAGTGCTTAGACTGTGGGAAAAGTTTTATACAGAGATCAGCTCTTCTTATTCATCAGGCAATCCACACTGGAGAGAGACCCCATAAGTGCTTAATCTGTGGGACAGGTTTCATACGGAGGTCAGACCTTGTTAAACATGAGGAAATCCACACTGGAGAGAGACCCCATAAGTGCTTAGACTGTGGAAAAAGTTTTGTACGGAGGTCAAACCTTCTTGTACATCAAAAAATCCACACTGGAGAGAGACCCCATCAGTGCTTAGACTGTGGAAAAAGTTTCATACGGAGGTCTGACCTTGTTAAACATCAAGCAATCCATACAAGAGGGAGACATAAGTGTATGAAAAGTGTGTAAAAGGTATTTGGGACCATTCCAAGAAATAGAGACTAGAACTTTGAAATGTAACCTGGTATTGTTAAGTAATTGAAAGAAGATAGTAGTGCTGTTGATTAATTGCAATTAACTTGCATGATTAACTCAAAAAATTCATTGTGGTTAAAAATATTAATCTTGATGAATCACATAGTTAAACAATAGAATAGATTTTGGAATTTGTTTAATGTTTTCAGATGGTTTTTCAATGTTTTCATATCTATTGATTTCTATCACAACAAAGAATAGAAAGTGTACAGTGCACACTTTATATTATTTTTGTTACAAATATTTGTACTGTAAACATTCAAAACAAAAATAGTAT